CACCATACAAGCACACTATAACACTCGTCATACACGCACACTATAACACCATACAAGCACACTATAACACTCACCATACAAGCACACTATAACACTCACCATACAAGCACACTATAACACTCACCATACAAGCACACTATAACACTCACCATACAAGCACACTATAACACTCGCCATACAAGCACACTATAACACTCACCATACAAGCACACTATAACACTCACCATACAAGCACACTATAACACTCACCATACAAGTACACTATAACACCATACAAGCACACTATAACACTCACCATACTAGCACACTATAACACTCACCATACAAGCACACTATAACACTCACCATACAAGCACACTATAATACCATACAAGCACACTATAACACCATACAAGCACACTATAACACTCACCATACAAGCACACTATAACACTCGCCATACAAGCACACTATAACACCATACAAGCACACTATAACACTCACCATACAAGCACACTATAACACTCACCATACAAGCACACTATAACACCATACAAGCACACTATAACACCATACAAGCACACTATAACACCATACAAGCACACTATAACACTCACCATACAAGCACACTATAACACTCGCCATACAAGCACACTATAACACCATACAAGCACACTATAACACTCACCATACAAGCACACTATAACACTCACCATACAAGCACACTATAACACTCACCATACAAGCACACTATAACACTCACCATACAAGCACACTATAACACTCACCATACAAGCACACTATAACACTCACCATACAAGCACACTATAACACTCACCATACAAGCACACTATAACACTCACCATACAAGCACACTATAACACTCACCATACAAGAACACTATAACACCATACAAGCACACTATAACACTCACCATACTAGCACAACATAACACTCACCATACAAGCACACTATAACACTCACCATACAAGCACACTATAATACCATACAAGCACACTATAACACCATACAAGCACACTATAACACTCACCATACAAACACACTATAACACTCACCATACAAGCATACTATAACACCATACAAGCACACTATAACACTCACCATACAAGCACACTATAACACTCACCATACAAGCACACTATAACACTCACCATACAAGCACACTATAATACCATACAAGCACACTATAACACCATACAAGCACACTATAACACTCATCATATAAGCACACTATAACACTCACCATACAAGCACACTATAATACCATACAAGCACACTATAACACCATACAAGCACACTATAACACTCACCATACAAGCACACTATAACACCATACAAGCACACTATAACACTCACCATACAAGCACACTATAACACCATACAAGCACACTATAACACTCACCATACAAGCACACTATAACACTCACCATACAAGCACACTATAACACTCACTATACAAGCACACTATAACACTCACCATACAAGCACACTATAACACCATACAAGCACACTATAACACTCACTATACAAGCACACTTTAACACCATACAAGCACACTATAACACTCACCATACAAGCACACTATAACACTCACCATACAATCACACTATAACACCATACAAGCACACTATAACACTCACCATACAAGCACACTATAACACTCACAATACAAGCACACTATAACACTCACCATACAAGCACACTATAACACTCACCATACAAGCACACTATAACACTCACCATACAAGCACACTATAACACTCATCATGATCACGTTCTCTTGGACATTAAATACGCTTTGCGATATAATCTGGTAGAGAATGGGGACATTGAAACAGTTGTTAAACTCGATTTCAAGAGAGGACGCTATGGGGAACAGAAATTTTTTTCATGGGTATAATTGGTAAGGAAGGTAAGGAAGTAAATGAGGTGTATGCCATATTTTGCAAAATATACGATGAACGCACACAAATATTGATACCAAAATAGAGATGCAGACCTACTAAACAGGATTGGTTCAACAGAAATTGCGAGAAGGCCAGAGATCAAAAGACACAGGCATGGAATCATTATAGAAAGAGGCCAAACCCCCAAACATACCAACGATACAAAGATGCGAGAAAGAACTACACGTCAGTAAGGAGAGAGGCTGAGAGGAACTATGAGAACGGAATAGCAGACCAGGCCTTTTCTATAAATTCATTAAAAACAAGCTGCAGGTAAAGGATAATATTCAGAGATTGAAAATAGGGGACAGATACACGGAAAATGAAAAGGAAATATGTGGAACATTAAACGAAAAGTTCCAAAGTATGTTTGTACAAAATGAGATCTTTAGGGAACCAGATACAATAAGAATTCCAGAGAACAACATAGAGCACATAGAGGTGTCAAGAGACGAAATGAAACAAATGCTCTTGGAGCTAAGTAAGAACAAAGCAGTTGGCCCAGATGGAGTTTCACCATGGGTTCTGAGAGAATGTGCAGTTGAGTTCAGCATACCACTTCGGCTGATTTTTCAGTCATCCCTGTGTACAGGAGTCGTAACAGATGTGTGGAAACAGGCTAACATAGTTCCAATCTACAAAAGTGGCAGCAGGAAAGACCCCCTCAGTTATAAACCTGTATCATTCGCAAGTGTAATAGTCAAAATATTGGAAAAAATAATTAAATATAAATGGGTAGAACACCTGGAGAGAAATAATATAATATCAGACAGACAGTATGGGTTTCGATCTGGAAGATCCTGTGTATTGAATTTACTCAGTTTCTATGATAGAGCCACAGAGATTTTACAGGAAAGAGATGGTTGGGTTGACTGCATGTAATTATTGAAACAAGTGTAATTATCTCAGATGCTTCGTTTTTTATTTTTCTTCTCCTCGTCTCTTTCTTAATCTTTATTTTTCCAGTAACAACTCAACCTTAATCACTCACCATATTTCACAGTTGACACCTTGAAAGACTCCAGGAAAAGGCCTAAGAGGTGTTTATAATTACTAACATTTGTATGTTGACCAAACTACACACTAGAAGGTGAAGGGACGACGACATTTCGGTCCGTCCTGGACCATTCTCAAGTCGATTGAGTGCCATTCTTAATTGACTTCAGAATGGTCCAGAACGGACCGAAACGTCGTCGTCCCTTCACCTTCTAGTGCGTGGTCTGGTCAACATACTTCAGCCACGTTATTGTGATTCATCGCCTGCATACTAACATTTGTTAAATCATTTAGCTTAGGCCTACTTCGACCAGCCTGTGTATGGGATCAGAACCCTAAGCCACCCACTTGCCAAGCTGGGTAAGGCTAGCAGCAGGCGTCTGACCTCTCACCCTGCACAGAGAAACGTACATTTTCTCTTATTGGTATAGATGCAAGACTTTGTCCAGTACCAATTATGGTACAGTCAGACTTTCTGAGAGAGCTTACGTATGGCCACCAAGACTTTATCCTGGAGGTTATGCATGGGATAGACCAACCACAATTTTCCTGGGAGGTCAACGTTAGGTCACAGTTATACTTGTAGTCAACGTGAGGTCACAGTTATACTTGTAGTCAACGTGAGGTCATAGTTATACTTGAAGTCAACGTGAGGTCATAGTTATACTTGTGGTCAACGTGAGGTCATAGTTATACTTGTAGTCAACGTGAGGTCATAGTTATGCTTGTGGTCAACGTGAGGTCATAGTTATGCTGTGGTCAACGTGAGGTCATAGTTATACTTGTAGTCAACGTGAGGTCATAGTTATGCTTGTGGTCAACGTGAGGTCATAGTTATGCTTGTGGTCAACGTGAGGTCATAGTTATACTTGTAGTCAACGTGAGGTCATAGTTATACTTGTAGTCAACGTGAGGTCATAGTTATACTTGTAGTCAACGTGAGGTCATAGTTATACTTGTAGTCAACGTGAGGTCATAGTTATACTTGTAGTCAACGTGAGGTCATAGTTATGCTTGTGGTCAACGTGAGGTCATAGTTATGCTGTGGTCAACGTGAGGTCATAGTTATACTTGTAGTCAACGTGAGGTCATAGTTATGCTTGTGGTCAACGTGAGGTCATAGTTATGCTTGTGGTCAACGTGAGGTCATAGTTATGCTGTGGTCAACGTGAGGTCATAGTTATACTTGTAGTCAACGTGAGGTCATAGTTATGCTTGTGGTCAACGTTATGTCATAGTTATGCTGTGGTCAACGTGAGGTCATAGTTATACTTGTAGTCAACGTGAGGTCATAGTTATACTTGTGGTCAACGTGAGGTCATAGTTATGCTTGTGGTCAACGTTATGTCATAGTTATGCTGTGGTCAACGTGAGGTCATAGTTATACTTGTAGTCAACGTGAGGTCATAGTTATACTTGTGGTCAACGTGAGGTCATAGTTATACTTGTGGTCAACGTGAGGTCATAGTTATGCTGTGGTCAACGTGAGGTCATAGTTATACTTGTAGTCAACGTGAGGTCATAGTTATGCTTGTGGTCAACGTGAGGTCATAGTTATGCTTGTGGTCAACGTGAGGTCATAGTTATACTTGTAGTCAACGTGAGGTCATAGTTATGTTGTGGTCAACGTGAGGTCATAGTTATACTTGTAGTCAACGTGAGGTCATAGTTATGTTGTGGTCAACGTGAGGTCATAGTTATGTTGTGATCAACGTGAGGTCATAGTTATGTTGTGGTCAACGTGAGGTCATAGTTATGTTGTGGTCAACGTGAGGTCATAGTTATGTTGTGGTCAACGTGAGGTCATAGTTATGTTGTGGTCAACGTGAGGTCATAGTTATACTTGTAGTCAACGTGAGGTCATAGTTATGTTGTGATCAACGTGAGGTCATAGTTATGTTGTGGTCAACGTGAGGTCATAGTTATACTTGTAGTCAACGTGAGGTTATTATAATCATATACAAATTGTGTCAAAAAAATTAAGAGCAAATTTTAGTATAAATTTACTAGATATATTTAATAAAATTTAATAGATATATGTCTCTTTGTCTGTCTCAGGGAGGCCTTGGTGCGTGGAGTGTTCGGTGCTGGCTCCCTGGGCCTCCACGAGTGCTAAGATCTCCTTCCCACTGGCTCTTGGTTGTGGTACTGACGGCGTCTGCAACCCAGACCTGACCATCACAGCTGCCTGGACCTCTGGCCTGTGAGTGGACTCTTCTTATGAGTGAACTAAACAGAGACTTGAACTGTGGAACCCACTGACTGTGTCTCGTTAACTGGCACTCACAGTTGTCTGGAACGGGGAAGTTTATTAGTCATGGTAGTTAACAATGCAGCGGCTTTATGAGTGGAAGTGCCCGAGATTAGCGTTCACTGGATATCTAGTCTTTGAGACAGTTCAGTTATAATGCATATAAGGCTGTTATGAATGAGTGAACGTTCAATTATGAATTGAACGTTTAGTGTTAATGACTGCTAATGTTCTGGTATTAATTATTAATTTGAACTACCTAGTACTTACATTGCAAATGACACTGTTGTTTTGTTTTGTCTGGTTTAATCTTTGACCTTTTAAACAAGGAACCTTGAAGGCTGTCCCCGTATTCAGTACTCAACCAGCCCATCCTCCTGTTTTGGTAGTACTAATAGTCACGATGCGGACCATAGTATATACCGACGTACAACGAAATTAAAAGTAGAACTCGGAACTATTGAGTTGGACAAACAGGATTTTTTTTTACTTGTGTTGCTTTGACAAACTAAACTAACTAAACCTAACCTTTCTAATCCTAAATACACGACATCTGAGGCCTAATATAGTACATATGTGTGCTATACTAGGCCTAGGAATGTTTGAGTTTATTATTTAGCTTCATTTATTAGTGAAGTAATCTACCTCTTGGCTGGAGGTAGATTAGTGAACATCCGCATGTGTTCTTGGAGATGTGTCAACAGTTGCTTCCAGATATTAACACCCACATCTATCTCTCCCACCCTCACTCACCCCTCCCTCCCTCACTCCTCTCTCCCACCCTCACTCACCCCTCCCTCCCACCCTTCCTCACTCCTCTCTAACACCCTCATTCACTCCTCCCTCCCACAGAGCGTCAGGCAGGTACACAGTGGGCAGCCTGAACCCCCTGACCATAACTGTGAAGGTGAAGGCGAGAGGTGAGCCAGCGTACCTGGGGTGGGTGCAGATGAGCCTTCCCCCCGGCCTGGGCATCAGAACTCTCCCATACTCCTGTAAGATCATCAACTCCACCACCGCCTACTGTACCTTGCAGAATCCCTTCTATCAGCGCGAGGTGAGTCGGTACTTGTTGCGCCACTGGCAGCTGTGTGGCTTCCATGTTTGGATGTGTTTGTTTGCCTATGAAACCCTGATGGGGTTTGCGAGGACAGAGCTCTAGCTCCAGTGCTCCGTCTTCTATTTATCATGACTGTCATAAAACTTTTCCAGACTGTCTAATGCTCTAGTCATATCTATTATATTCTCATGTGTGGAGTTTTCCTCCCAAACGTCATTGTTTTGCATTTTTTTATAATTCCTTCCTCTTCCAGCTCCATTCCCCAGTTTTGTGCTTGTGTGCTTGTTGTGGGAAAATCTGGCTCCAGAATATTAATAATAATAATAATTTTAATAATATCGAAGGACCACTCCCTTTATGGGAGAAATAAATTAAATATATGAATTGTAATAAATTAGAGAACCAGTGCCTATGGATCTCGGAAATAATAGTTCATGGAAATCTTAGAGCAATAATGGACTGTAGAATAATAATTAAATTATAGAGCCAAATCCCTCCATACTCTTTGGGGGTTTGTATAATAGTACAAGGAAACTAATGCATTACTTGAACAATAAATTAGACACTAATGTATATCAAATATAAGCCAATAAGAAATCAAGAATATCAGTAATAATTTATATGGCAAAAATATATAAATGTTAGTAATCTACTAGTTCAAAACATAAACAACAGCTTAGCTGTGTTGTAGAAATAGAAGTAAGCGTCAGGGCAGTCACGTCAAGAATACTTGTCGAAACTGGCTGTCCCATAACACGTTGAGGTAGAGACTTATCACCCTTCTTATCACTATGGCACAAGCTGAAATATGGGTAAAATGTAAGATTTGCCTATACCAATGCTAATTTGCATCTATTTCTGAATTAAAAATGTGGAGACAATCTAGCATGGGACGTACTTGGTGATATTTAGAGTCCATGCGGCCTACCGACGAACATCCTATAAGTTAAAACTTTAGTGATCACCAATATTATAACTATAAGGAACTTAGCGTCTTTTATGCTCGGCGAGCCGAGCGTCTGATTAATGATGAAGCCGCTCCAGCACTCTGACATCCGCTGCTGCCAGGATGGCGCAAATACGGGCTGGTAAATTACGCGAGCTCCAGACACTGCTTGTCGCCAGAAATATTGCTGTCGTCCCTCTCCCCTGCCTTCTCTCTCGGGGTGGCGCATGCGCAACAGTTCCCAGGTGGGACCCGAGCGTAAATTATATTATTTATTTATTGTTATATATAGAAGGAAGTGGGTTTGACGAATATTTGCGTCATAAAAAAATGTATTATGTGGCAATATATTTTCTCGTAGTGCATGTCTCTTAATTTAGACTATGATTAATATCTAGACTATGAACCTAGACTAATTTAGTCTCTACCTCAACGTGTTATATATTATTAAATATATAAACGAGAAAGAGTTAGAGTGGAAATTATTTTGCATAATAATATTATTCACTGGAACAGCTAATCTAGCTTGATAAATGAATTCCAGTAAACAGTAATATACTAAATAAAGTAAACTTATTAATAAACGATTATCCTTAATAAAGGAAAGTTAAATAACTGGACTAATCGATCCACAGATATGTGGAAAATTATTCCCTGTGGCGGGCTTGCTGACACAACATCGCCATGGATAGTTGGAAAACTTTGGCGCGGTTATTACGCACTAGGGAATGAATTAATATTATTACACTACTTGTTAGTAGTATTAGTAAATATAATGGTTAGTACAAGAATTCTTCTTAAAGTACAAAATGTTAGTGATTATGTGTTGTAAATTTCCAACATAACTCCAGGGTGGGTGGGAATCTCGGGTCGCAGTTCATGTCTTAGTACTGACGTACCAGTCTCTCTACCCTGAAGTTATAAAGTTATAAACATTGGGTTAGTAGGTTAATACGTTAGTACGCCCATAACGGAAGTCCCGTATCTGTGGAACAGATGTGACTCTTAGTCTTTATGGGAACAAAAATTTAATGTTGAAAATATACAATTATTAAGTCATCTAAAATAAAGAACTCTCCAAAATCTACAGCAAAATCAATGACTAGTGTCGCTATGACGAGTAATGGTTGAATTACTTAGTCACTGAAGTGTTCTGCAGCCTCAGAAATATTCTTAATAACGGATGTCTATGATCTGCAATTAGGCAGAAGAAAATACTGTATAATCTGTAATCTGCATTATTATACATTAATTACAGAATATAAAGTATTAATCATTATGTCATTCAAGATCAAGGAGACTTCGAAACTACGGTTAGGTCACTATCTTGGGTCACTGTGACTTGTAACTGTTGAGTTACTAGACAATAATTCATCACTGAAGCATCATGATCACCTCAAACTCAAATGAGGAATTGTTTGCACTTAGGCAGAACTAGATGTGGTTTAAATTTGCACTGTGGTGCAGTAGTCACTTTAGACTAATAGTGTAACTAAGTTACACTAAGTTATAGTGTAACCTAGCTAAATGTTATTTAATATTAGAGAACTGAATATGTTGATTCATTAAAATCAAGGAAGACTCTTGAGTCGACAGTGAGATTAGTAGTTTAGTCACTGTGACTTGTAGCTAATTGAATTACAGCTTACAGGCTTGTCACTAAAGACTCATTAATTCATCCTCAACTTTAAATGAGAAATAATAATATTCATTTAAATCAGTCTCTATTAATAGTCAACTATATTTAATTGTGTGCACAGACTCAGCTGGTACTCTGTTGACACTAACTAATGTCCCTTAATATCTCCCTAAATAGATGGTTTAATTTTCCCTAAACCTACCTAAGCAGAGGGCTATGCTAATTGTGAATTTTTGTGTCACCCTAGCTAATGGTGAGCAGTTGAGCTGCTCGTGTGTGAATTCTGTTAGGCTACGATGCTATAGCCCTCTAGAGACTTAACAAACACTTAGTCTAACTAAAGTATTTATGAGTAGTGGGTCCTATGCAGTTCATGGGTATTACGTTACAATACTATAGTCCTCTTAAGACTTAACGAAGCATGTAACTTGAAGAATTACATGGTGAGCAATAATAGTTGCACGGGTTATCATGGTGAGTAATAATAGTTGCACAAGTTATCCTATAAGTTATTCTATGCCCTATATTATATACTATAAGTTATCCTATATGAGAGCAAAAATGTGCTCGAATCAGTGTGGGGAACAAGAAGGCGTTCAAATATCATGAGTGAGCAATAAGGCCTTCGAATTATCGTGGAGAGCAATAATGGGCTCAATTATCCCGGTGAACAATAATGTGCACGAATTTTCATGGGGAACAATAATGCGCTCGAATAATGCTGGTGAACAATAATATGCTCGTATGATGGGGGTGAACAATAATATGCTCAAGATGATAGTGAGCAACAAGGGGCTCGAATGATCATGGTGAGCAACAATGTGTTTGAATTAGCGTGGGGAGCAATAAGGCGCTCAAATGCCATTGTTGAGCAATAATGCGTTCGAATTATCGCGGGGAGCAATAATGGATTCAATTATCATGATGAACAATAATGCGCTCGAATTATCATGGGGGAACAATAATGCGCTCGAAGTATCATGGGGAACAATAATGCGCTCGAATGTCATGTTAATTCATAGGTGAGCAGTTGAGTCTGCTCGTTTTATTCAGGTTGAATAAGTGCAGGAACCATCTTGAGGGATAGCTTAGCATAGAATCTATTAAAGATTCAGGTCTGAGCAGTAAGTCTGCTCGTATTAAGCATGTTAAGTTACAGTAAATTAAAGTTTAATGTTAATTCATTAAATGATGAGAAACCTAAGGTTGCTGGAAGAATTATTATTGTTACTACAACCAAACTTGCTTGGAAGATAATTTGTAACGAATTATCCCAACGTATAAGTTTCACGGTTTATAGTTCCCAGTTACATGTTCACTTAATAATTTGCAAGTTGTCAATCTTGCTCATGCTAGGATTCCTTAAAAATCGTTTCTATGATTGCTTAAGAGAAGAAGCGAAAAAGGAAAAACAGCTCAAACAAAAACTAAAGCAAATAAATCACTAGAATCCTAGTGCAGAAAACTTTGAATAAATGTGGTTGTCTGGTTAAGAATAACCTAAGGTTTTCTTGGCAGACCTTAAGCGCTAGATTATTTTGGACCTTGGTCCTGGTAAATTTGCAGGTATAGAATTTTCTTGATGACTTCATAGTACTGCTAGATGCATTGGGTGCTAGAATCTCTAGCCTAATTTTACTAGTTACATAAGGAGACTGAGTGTGGTCAATTATTACTGTCGAGAATAATTCTGGGTCTGCAGTGGGTTCAGAGGCTTGGTCACTGTGACATGCACCTGTTTAGGCTGCGGACCACTGATTTTCAACTGAGATCCATAAAACATCTCGGTTAATACTAATTGTACTAGACTCAATCTGGATTTATGACTCAGCTGGGTTTATCCTTTATGCTTGTTGCTGGAGAATTAATTTACTGCTGATTAATTTCAACTAACATTGTTGTTAGCAGGCATAGGCTTGTTCAGGTTTGAAACTTTACCTGTCATTAAGTAACTACCTGCAGATCGGAGCAAATTCATGCCCTGTTGTTTAAAATGACCAGTAATAAACTGGTAATAGTAATCTGTTCCTACTAGTATATTTACATTGTTGAGGTTGTCAGACATTAACTGGTTGTCAACCAACTTAGTTCAATTTTCCTGTAGCAAATTGGCTGTGTAGCCTCGACCGTAGATGGGTAAAGTCCCATCTACCCGGAGGGTAGATAACACTCATTAGCCTGGGAAGGCAGCTCATCCAGGGGAAGGAAAACCCTGATTCTAAACCTCCGCTACCTTGTGGCCATACCCCTCTTTTGGGAAAGGCTTCAGGAATCAACCTCAATGAAATATCCAGAGTTGGAGCCCATAAGGCAGTTCGTTGTCGATTCCGACCTCGCTCTGGCAGCTCCTGCAACGGTGCTGGAACCATGTGTATTGGCATTTGCCTTTCCACTGGATAATTTCAACAACGT